CAGCAGTTGTTTGCCCGGAGAGAGGAAGGGATGAAGTCATCTTCACTTTATCACCCTATACAAGAAGCATCCGTCTCTCAATGTGTTATCCTGATGTCGTGTCTGCACGTTTGAGCATCCAGACACAGGTACAAGCAGGATCTAGCCAAAATTTGCCGAATTTCTTCGAGAATTGTAAGTGGCATCCCAGTGACCCCACGCTACAGCGTCCCACACTGTTTCTCAAGACACGTGTTCAGCATCACTTGTAGGTTGCTGTTGTTGTTCAGCTCAGCACAGCTGTTTCAGCAAGCCAGAGGTGAGTTCTGCATCCAGTGTGTCTCCGTGTTTGTGGGTGGGGGAGGAGGAGGAGGAAGTGGCCAGGTACTCCCTCGCCATACACTCGCCCATGCTCCTCGCCACCACACTACCACACACTCACCACTACCACTCCCTCTGCTGTGTTTTCTGCTGTTTTCCATGTGAAATGGTCGCCAGTGCTGTGTATCAGAGTGCTTGAGGCCACTTGAAGCTATGTGGATCAGCAAGCCACATGGATCAACAAGCCACGTGGATCAGCATGCCATGTAGATCACTCGAAGCCATGTGGATTAGCAAGCCATGTGGATCAGCAAGCCACATGGATCAGCAAGCCATGTGGATCATCATGCCACATAGATCATAACACCACGTGGATCACGACACCACATGGGGTGCGGGCGATATCACGTGAATCTACAAGCCACATGAGTTACCAAGCCAGATGTCCCAGGCCTCATGCTGTGGTCTGCTGCCCACATCACATTGGCATCATCAACGATGCTGCACTACTTCATGACGTCACTATGTCTGCCTGATGTCGCCTCAAAATGTCTGCTGATGTCACAGTGCTGCTGACGTCACCTCGCGACATCACATGATGTCACATCGAGTGTTCTAGTAATTATTTCAGTATTGTCGAGAAGATTGAGAGACGATATATGTCATATGTTAATTAATTCCTCTCAGTCAGTGTTCTCACATGTTAGTGTATGGCTTAGTGTCAGTTTTGTGCACAGAAAAGCATCATTTGCTAGTTTAAGCCATGTTGTGCCACATGTACTGTGGGTGTGTGTAGTTTCCGTGTGTCCAGTAAGGTCTGCGGCCAGACCTGAGTAGCACCACTGTGCTAAGTCACCCGTGTGACCAGTGCGTTTGACAGCTGATATCAATCAGCTCTGAGCCTGAGCCCCCTTGTACAGAAAGCTCTTATGCTCGTCGCTCGTGATGTTCTGCAAAATTGTACCTGCTATGATTCCCATCGAGATTTGTTTCACTTCACCTCCAGACCTTCAGTGCAGTTATATGTAGAGAAACAAATCTGGGGACACTTAGACTAACCTCTGCTGTAACTCCAACTGCCGAGAGAATGACACTCATCAAGCCACAGTTAGCCCTGTCGGCAGGCGCTGTGTCAGCCTCGTGTCAAGCTTCAGTGAGCTCCTGCACAAAGAAGATGTCACTTTGACTGCTAGCTCGCTCACTGCAGTATGGTGTATGATGTTACGACTCCCAGGTGTTTCGCCCAGTCGTCTCTGCCATGACTCGCTCCACACTCGCTGGCAGTGACAGCTCAGCAGTGACGCCTCACTCGAGGGCACCAGCATGTCATGCCCCAGGTTGAGTGAAACCTGCAGCGACTCCTACGATGTCTGCTTCACCGTTCCAGAGGAGATCGTAACCTGTTACGTCACAGCTCAGCCGCAGGAATATCTCCTGTGTTGCAGTATCTGTCCAAACGCAGGCAGGTGTGCAGTGATGCCCATCGATGCTCACTGCCTATGACCACGATGTTTAGCACACCCTAAATGTTTTTTCTTCCCTCCCTGTAGGAAGTTTTTTTTTTCCATGTCCATATGTATATATATATGTTTTCATTTTGTGTTCTGTGCTCTGTTCCTATGAGAGAGAGACCGAGTTTCTTTTACCACCAGTATTGTCGCGTCGGGACGACGTGCAGTAGGTGGCCGAGCGAATGTAGACAGCCTGTACTGTCTGCCAGCTTAGTTCATATTTCGCGCCACTCAAGTGCTGCCCTCTGGGCCTGTCCAGGTCTGTGGGAAGCTGGTCCCACACTCTCTCACTCACACAGCGGCCTAGCAGGAAGACACAAGGCCTACTAGTTCTCCCTCTCGTGGGCATGGCCTCCCAGGCCGTGGGCACAACACACAAGCCTGTGTACCCACCACTAGATTACAAATAAAGAAGCCTCTGAAGAGACGTATCATTTACACCCCGCTACCAGCATCACCAAACAAACACATTAAACAGAAAGGTTGATGGGTAGACTTCAGTATGCTCATGTGTTTACTTCATTCTTCAGTGGTAGCTAAAGTGAGAGCAAGAGGTAGACGAGTAACAACGAAAGTGTCATCAGGGGATAAGAGAAAAGTGAAAGTAAGTAAATTAAACGAGATAGTAATGACAAAATATAAAGAAAAGGTGAGCAAGAGAAAGTACAGATAATGATGGAATCGGAAAG